CAGCTGACTGACTGCCCTGCCAGACCAAGTACCCTGAGGGGGTGCTGTCATGTCATTTTGCATGCATATTTGGTATTGGCTTGCGCAAATAGCCACTTATACATTTTGACTGGAAAGCTCTTTGCACATATACTGACTATTGTATGTATTTAAAAGTAATTGACAAACAGATTAGGTGTGGGCAATTGAATGGCTGCATTTTTAAAAATCAGACCCCATATTATGTTGGGTATCAAGTATGCTTAATTATTTTTTAACAGGACCAGTGGATACAGAACTGTATTTTGATCTTGGTCTCTTGGTGACCAGCATAATATTTTAACCAAACACTTGATTCCTTTATTCTTGCAGAATTTGTATTGTTTTTAAGAATATTAAATTGTGTAGACATACATTTCGGGCTTGTGTGTGGTTTCATATTTCAGGTTTCTTAGGCTCTGGTCCTGAAAGCTGTTCTAGATGACTGGATCCCATCAGAGCCTCTTTCACTTCTTTGGGCATCCACAGGGGCTCAGGGGATTGGGTCTTAAATTTGGAAATCCGGGAGTTTAAAAGGGTTCTTTTTCCAATGTTTGTGTCTGACACTTGATAGGGCACTGTTATATTTTCGAATGTACAGGGTAAATTTGCTATGCAGTGCCTTAGCAGCATGACTCCCATTAGCATTTGTCAGTTTAAGATAGCATCTGAATGAAGATGATTTTTTAATGATAATCTAGAAAATACTCAAAATAGAAAAATGTATTGTGAAGGCAATTTTATGTTGACATTAAGATGTTATTGTAAAGTCTATAAATGTCTGAGACCTTCTCCCCCTCAGTGTGAAAAGTAATTTTAAAAAGCACTCTGGGTTGTTGTAATTTGGCTTCTTCCTCCCTCCTTCACCCACCAGGCTTGATATCCAAGTTAATTCCTGATGTGTTAAATCCAAATGACAAGGAATTTGGTGGCCTCATCTAGTCCTGATGTCAGCACACCTCAAAACTAGCATGCAATTTTGTCATAATTACCAAAGGGAATGGTTTCTGTTCATATGTCTGTTAGCACCTAAGAGATGCTTCAACTGATGCTATAAATGTTGATTGATGGGATCAACTCTGTTATTCTCAACATAAAATTTTATCTTAAAGTGTTTGCAGTTCACATGGATAGTACGAAAAGTAGCTTCCAATGGTACATAATCTCTTCTCACACTTCAGTAAACGCTGGATTCAGAAAAATCCTTGAGTAAGTGGCACCAGTTCATCCGAAAGGGCGACTGACATCAAGACTAAAAATCTAAATAAGACCCGCTGCCTTTGGTATCTAATAGGAAGAAGCCTCCTGAGTTTATCATAGAAATTTAGCCTAAGCCTCATTTCCCCCCTCTCCTCCACTACCCATACATTTCTTCACGTCAAAAGAGGGAAAATTATAATAATGCAGGAAAGTCATAAAATGGCCAAATTCTTTCACCTTACTCCTCTGGGGAGGGTCGTTAATGGACACCGTGCTATGTTGATGGGCACAACACACATACCTATAGACCTAGCTGAGCTTTATTGTGTAGATTATAATTATCAGCTGTGAAGGAAAAACATTCTCAGAATGGCAAACACTTACTTGAAACTAATTTGTTATTGACAGAGGTGATTTTATATGGTATTTGTACACACCATTAGCTTGTGTAGTAAATCATCCTTTTGGCTAAAGAAGATAATCTTTTCTCAGAACCATTTGTCCCTACTGACAGTAAATTGTCCTAAACAGTTTTTAGAATATTTAGCAATTGTTCCTTGAGTCAGAGTTCTTCATTCATTTTAAGAAAGCAATTGTCATGCTTGATTTGTGATTTTTTTTTTCTTTTGGTCTACAGGGGGAATTTCCTCAGATCAAAGTGTTTTCTAGTCTGTCACCTATCCCAGGATTCACCAAGTGGCTCATTGGACTTCTGACCTCACAAACAAAGGAACAGGGGAGAAATGAACTATTTACAGATGCAGAATGCCAAGAAATCTCTGAGATCACTGGTGACCCTGCTGCTGAAAAGCTAAAGAGGCTCTTAACTAACAACGAATGGATGAGATCGGAAAGATTGGTCAAAGCATTGCATTCACCATTTATGAGACTCTGTGCTTGGTACCTGTATGGAGAGAAACACCGTGGATATGCCCTTAATCCAGTAGCAAACTTTCACCTTCAGAATGGTGCTGTGCTGTGGCGGATAAATTGGATGGCAGACACAAGCCCCCGTGGGATCACTGCTTCATGTGGCATGATGGTAAATTATCGGTATTTCTTAGAGGACACAGCCAGTAACAGTGCAGGATACCTTGGGACAAAGCACATCAAAGCCTCAGAACAGGTTCTTTCCTTGGTGTCTCAATTTCAGCAAAATAGCAAACTTTAAATATACAAGAAGATTTTAAGAGCGAACTTTTCTCATTTGAATGAAGGGGTAGGATACCTTGGGATGTCCTTATTGAAAAGGGAATGTTTGTAATAAAACAATGAGCTCTGTTCTTAGTCACAGCAGGATGCAAAATTACATTGTCTGCCAAAATTATTATAACTTTCTTTACTTGTACTGCCAGATACTCAAAGCCTGATACAGTATGGTTGAATTATTGCCATACTTTATGTTCAAATGAGCTGGAAGTGTGTATTAAAGGCTGTGTAAATTCATCTCATTAAGGTTACAAGCCAGTGGTGACTTGTGTGGACTGTTCTCTGCCCCTGTTGTTGTTCTCAGGATCAATATTGTTGTTTAAGCTACATCTTCAAAAGCACAGAGGAACTCCTCTGTACCCAAATAACTAGATAAAAGCAATGGGCGAAGACAATTTTTTGCTCAAATATATATAAGCTGAAGAGCAGTCTGCAGCATTTCTTCACGAAGGTCTTTGTCTTCTTTATTCCTGACATTTTTTGGTAAAACCTCTTGATTTGGCCATTCTTTTGCTTTTTCAAAGTACAGTACAAAGTGCCAACACTGAATCATTGCTCTGATCGAGCAACAAGATACCTTGTATTTCTGTGGCTTTTTCTCAAGGCAGTAGGTATGTGCAACAGTGTATTTGCAGATTGCTATAGCTCATATTTACAGTTTAATAAGTAAAATCAGTGGCTCTAAATAAAAGAAAGTCTGTTGCTTATAGGACTTAATTATGAAGATTTCGGTTATATATTAAATCTCCATAAATTATATTGGACATTTTAGAAGTTGGATTTTAAGAAGCTTTTTTTAATAGTAAAAAGCCAGGTTTGGTCTGTAAAGCAATAAATTAAAATAAAATAAGTCTTCCTCTATAAACGTTACATGATATCTCTCTCAAAATGTACCGTATTCAGGTTACAGTCACACTTGATGTTAGTGTCTCCAGTGAAATAAGATCACTGACTTCAGTGGATCAGATATCAGCAGATTTGGAGTGCAGAATTCTTGGCTTCTTCAATGTATGCTGAAATCCTGACCAAATTCCTAAGGCTAGGTCTACACTACAGCGGGGGGTCGACCTAAGATACGCAACTTCAGCTACGTGAATAGCGTAGCTGAAGTGGCGTATTTTAGGTCGACTTACCTGGCTGTGAGGACGGCGGCAAGTCGACCGCTGACGCGCCGCCGTCGACTCCGCTACCGCCTCTTGCCGCGGTGGATTTCCGGAGTCGACGGTAGAGCCATCAGGGATCGATTTTTATCGCGTCTTCACTAGACGCGGTAAGTCGATCCCCGATAGACCGATTGCTACCCGCCGATCCGGCGGGTAGCAAAGACGTGCCCTAAGAGAATTACACAAACATTTCTATTTCCCTATGCAAGTAAAGGTGAAGGGATCCGTAAGTGTCCAGATGTACCATTTCATTCCAGGAGAAAGGACAATCAAATGAATTATTTGTGTTCACTAAACAAAAAACTTCCTACCTACTGAGTGGCCTGTTTTAAATATCTGCTAAAGAGATTAAATGTTCCCTGGCTTCAGCTGATGGCAGATTTCTCAATGTGATGATGCAGAGAGGCTGGATGCACTACACACTATTCCCTTCAGAACAAAGTCATTTTTACATAGCAGCTGGTCTTCACATTAGCAATGGCAACTAGCCTATGCCATGCTGCTTTCATTATGGTTTTTAAGAATGGTTCCAAAAGCCATCACATCTAGTCAGCAGGTATCTCTTATGTCAACAAATTAAGGCAAACCCATGGCTTTTGATCAGATACCAGTAAAAAAAAATTACTACCAGCTTCTTGTGGGGGAGGAATCTTGTATTGCCAATTTTTTTTAAGGAAAATTAAGAATCTCTTTGCTCAACTTGAATTGTAGTTTTTGTGAAAATGCCAGAGGGCAATACAGTACGTGCCAAAAGATAGCTTTTTCACTGCCTCTGAATAACTTGGCTCATTGCACATGAGCCAAAAAGACACTGTAAAGTTTTTGAGAAGAGATCAGTAAATTCTTCAGTTTGCCTCTGCATTTCCCACTTATGGAATTAAGTACTCAAACTTCTGGAATCTCCTGGTGTAGGTAGTGTCCACTGGACACTGTCCTTTGTTTGGTCAGTGGTGGGAAAGCAGCTCAGCCTAATCAGTCAGTCAGTGGCCTAGAGTAAAGGTAAATGCCAACAGGACAAGAAAACAGTTATTTTAATTCTAAAACTGGTGCTTCACTGATGGGGTGAGGACTGGGGTACTGGTTTTTTCTAATAATACCTGAGAGCAGACAGACCCCACTGTGTACCAACTCAACGGGTGAGAGTAAACGGCGGGCTTGTGTACACATGAAGGTTAATGTGGAATAAGGTTGGGTGTGAATTTAAAGTGGATTACCTATCCCTGCTTAACTCCATTTGGGGAAATTTTTATTCCATAATAACAGTGCCTTATTCCAAATTAGCTTAATCTACTTTAAACTAATTGGGAATAAGGCACTCTTCTTTGGGATTAAGAGGGTCCACAGGAAGAGCTATTCTGGAATAACTCCTCATGTGGACAAGCCCGCTGTGGTGGTTGGGACTGCACTTGCCTTTAAGCTCTCAGTTGAGGGATCACAGGCATGCAGGGCACATGTGTGGCCCCAATGGACACTGCCAGCTAAAAGACCATGAGAGGGATCCACATGGAAAAAGCATATCAAACCAGAGTTACTGTTAGGAGTGACCTGCTCAGCACCCATTAAAATCAATGAGAGCTGCTGGGTACTCAGCATGTCTGAAAAACCTAGTCACTTATTTATATGGCTTAAAAAAAAAAAAGCAGTTGGGTACTGAACTCTTTTGAAAATTTGACACCCCCACCTACTGAAATCAGTGGGAGTTGAGGCTTCCGCACCTTACTCCAAAAGGCATTATAAACAGGGGCTTAATCCTGCTGTTACTGAAGACCATGACAGGTGCAGGACTGGGACTTCACAGGATAAAAGTAGTCCCTCTGGAACCCATTAATATCAGGTATGAATGACAACACATGTACTTCTTGATGTATTTTCACAATGCAGAGTGCACTCAGTCCTTTCCAGTCCATCATTGCTTCAGCTTGTCTAAATTGCCTGTCGATGGCTCTTGGAGTAAATTTCAGCATTTGCTATGTATAAAATGTCAGTTTTGCCTAAAGGGAGGATATTATCCATGTTTAAAGACTCTCAAGGACTTAAGAGTTTAAAAATCTGCTAAATGAATTCAGCCAGACCTTGCACTGGAGTGGCACTCATTAGTGTTGCCATAGTGAATAGTCAGTTGCTCCTTCGGTGTTAGTACCCCAGTTTTCTAGGGGTTCTAGCAGGATCATTTTGAACTTTCATTCTTCTGAAACTTGGTGTGCAAGTTCCCAGCCTGAAACAGATTTTTTTTTTATTTCAAAAATAACCTCATTTTTAGACTTAGAGCAAAAAATGGGGGTTTAAATATTTTCTCTAAGGAAAAACAGCTTAAATTTAAGAACCTGAAATTTTTCAAGCATGTATTCCCAAGAGGCACTTATTCCTCTGAAGTTACACTGGCTAAGATAAGAATTATGAGTATTTATAAAGGATAGTGCCAGGGAATAAGCTGATCACTTACTGGGATGAGGAAGAAATCTCCCTTTCCAAATAGGTGCACTGTAGAAGTTTTATGAAAAGTCCCCTTGATTTGACAATAGTTTTGATACCAGACTAGATGGATGAATGATCTGACCTAGTATGACTTTTATTGTTTTCATGCTATGTGTAGACCGGTGCCTTTTAAAATTAAAGACCAAGCAAACAAAAACTGTGTGTCATTTTCTGTTTTTCTATAACAACATGACAAAAAAGACCCATTTTAAATAAGGATCTGATTTTCAATGGTGCTTTCCTAACACCTGCACCTGCAGTTGCAACTGATATAATAAAACACCATTGCAAGTACAGGCATTAATATCTATAATACTTGCCCATATGGCCAATAGTGGTAGGAAAGTGCCCTTGAAAGTACCTGCAAGCTCATGGTTGCCCACCAGGATCTAAATATCAGGTCTAAAGTTGTAGCATAAAATTGTGACCAGAGTAAGGAAAAGATGAGCAAAGAGTACCTTCCCATTTCTGTGCTTTCCCTATTATTTCTGCAGCCTGTTTTGTGTGTAACATCATTAAATATTATCTTTACATGGAGCCCTGAGGGGGAACATGTGTAGATAACAGTTGTGTGGGTGCTGAACTTTCAATAGCTGCTGTCAAAAGAGTGCTTAGTCTGATACCCTGACAGCCAGATAGTCACTTAGTAAAACCTCATTTTCGGCAAACACATTACTGCAGGACATGACACTTTTGTTTTCAACAGAGATCAGAAGCTAGGTGTATTTATTTTTCCCTTCTCCAAAGTTTAGAAAGTACAACTTAATCAGTATACTCCTGGTTTTAAGATGAAATTCAGTTTTGTGTATGAATAAATACAGCTGTTTGTGAAGGAAAAACCCTATATTTGTTCTCTAAAATGCCTCCGGTTTGAGGAAGTCAAATAAGAGACTTCTATTAAAGACAACAGAGATTTTTGAGTGATGCAACAGGCTGATCTAAATCAGGCTCATAACGTGTGGATTCTCACACCTAGACAGAGTTTAAATGCCTCCATGGTCTGTTTGTTGGGAGATTATAAGCAAAGATTTTTAGCATCACATTGGAGGTGCATTATATGGATGTATTTTCTGTATGACATCCGTTCTCCACAAGCCCTCAAGCACCTGCAAAAGTATTTCACTTCTTCAGTTCGCTTTTTGGTTCACTTCATCTGTTACCCCAGTAATCTAACAAATTAGGCTAAATATTCTATCATTTAATTGTGCATCAGAAATGTAGTTCAATTTTAAAAAACCTTTGCGAAAGGATTGTTGAGGGTGAAGTCTTTGCTCATTATTGGCTGTTTATTCCCACGAGTTTTCTTTCATTGGTTGTTGGCCTTAAAATGACCATCAGTGCTTGGACTGTCCAGCTTGCCAATAAAGTGAACAATGCTGAAAGTGGAAAGGAAATGCTCACTACATGTACTATTTACTGGGGCAATGGACATGTCATTGGAGGGGTTTTACTCCATTCTTTTGAAATGCAGCTTCATTGCTCAA